CCAATCATGTTCTTTATAAATCGTGGTACACCCTAGCTATACCTTTATATTGTTTTAGTAATTAAATACCATAAATGGAATTCAGAAATACTTTACAAAATTTCGCTGTAGTTCCTTTATTAAATTAATTGGTCATTAAGAATTAAATTTTCTCCTTTTTTTTGATATGATTTTACGTTATAAAAAATAAAGACGGAAAATTTATTTTAAAAAAGCCGAATATTTCCCCTGAAATATATATATATATATATATAATATATAATAGATATTATATGTATTGTAATTTTTTAGTATTCTTTTACAAATATATTATAACATACTATGAAACGTTTAAAATATTTGTAACAAATCAAAAAAATTATTCCACTATTAAATATTAAGCTCATTTGTTAAAATTATTATTATTAAAAATTGAAGTTCTCTCAACAAAATATTTAGGGTGATCTGCAATAAGAAGATTTTATTGGTATCATATATTGACCTTTGTGAAACTTAATATGATTACAGTAACTCCTTATAACACATGAAAAAAAAAAAAATAAACAATATAATAAGGGTAGTAGTTATTTTCGGATTAACTAGAAATATAAAAAGGCTGTGCATAATTGAGCCTTAATTGGTTTAAATATGGAAGCACAATATAAATACCATAGTATTACAACGTAAATAGAAAACTTAATACTTTATGGCATTTATAAAAATAACCTAAAACCGTCAATGATAGATAAGCCTGATAAGAAGGTTTATCCTGATGATTACTAGGACTTGGAGTGATCATATTAACATTGGAAATAATCTGACGGCGAGATTGTTGTAGAAGAATCAAGAATCTTTAATTAAATAATAAATCTTATATCGATATATCAATAAAATCAAGATTACAAGATTAGAAAGATTAGACTAAAAACAAATGGGTTAATCAATGAACTTAATCAATGATCATATGACTATTTTACACCACATAACACCAATAAGCCATATGACAGTAGCACTTGACCTAGCAAACAAATAAACAATGTTATTGTTTCCAGTTATAGTAATAACATATATGTATAAGATCTTTATTATTAAAGAAAAAAAATGCCGAAATATTTGCTCTAGTAATATATTTTCAGATATCCCGACGTGAAATTCTTCAATTTGCATGTTATATTTTTCAATTTTTTCATCTTGTTCTACATTTACGGCAAACCCGATTGATAAAAATTCTGGTTCTGGATGCAACGAAACCGTGTGGGTACATATCCGTTGTCCGAATCCGGCCGATAAACAATAGGATCTTCGAAAGTGGTGCTTTTTAATTCTGTAAATATCAGGCGCTTTGCCACATATAAATAATAAATCCAAGCCACAGTTACAAAATTGCGGATTTTCCAGGCGCAACATCCGACGACAATTATTACTTTATTAAAATATGCTTACAAAAAAATATTTAACTTAAAATTTTATGATATCACTATTTTTATATTCCGATAAGGTTTGTTAAACTTTAAAGGTAATTTACCTGACGCAGCAAATTCTGATTTGTCATTTTGATTTGGACAATATTGTTAGTATTATTTCAGTGGCTTACTATTATTATAATTATTATCAAATTCCTTTCGGTTAAATTAATTCCGTTAAAAAATGCGCACTTCTGATGTATACCCTGTGGCTTGATTTTCTTTAGATATATGACGACAATATGCATCCGATCATTTTAATTCTTATGGGGTGATTTCCTCCTAAATTTTTATTGGAAATTTTCAGAAGCACTTTTTCACAAAAGCTACTATGCTTTTTTATTTACTCCCTTAAAATATTTAGTGCGATGTTTTTTCTTTACAAAATAAACTTTTAACAACAAGTACTCAATACCGAAACGTCCTTAAAAAGATATAAAAATAATTAACCATGTCAAACAAATAAGAATTTTTATGCATCTCTTCTGATAATCTCAGAAAATCTCAGAAAAAGGAATTAATAGTTTACAGCAAATTATCTATTCAACATGATATTTTTTAGAAAACTATACTTTACTTGAAGCATTACTTTTATTATTAATGTATTAAAATAGAATTGGTGATGATGACAAAGGTGATAATAATATTGAAGATGTTAGACATAAATAAATTTTTCGAACAACTAAGAAGAAAAATGAGAAATGAGATAAAACTTAAAGAAGAAAATGGATTTTTCCATGGTAGTCCCCATCGGCTGTTTTAACATTAGTTCCATAAGAAAGATTATTTTCAGATTTTAATAAATTTAATAATTGTTTTTCAAAAAAACTCATCTAGATAGACCTTTTTTTTTTTTACTATTCTGAGTAGAGGATTTGGCCGAAAGCGTTAGTTACAACATTACGGCTTAATTTCCTTTACATCCACCATATCCACCTTCTTAAAATGTCACCCGTCGTAACAATTCTTTAATATGAATACTTAAGGGAAGCCTTCGTAGAGTAGATATCGCTTCTTGAAAATAATCGGAAATTTGTCGAGATGTGACACTGATGACGATTAATATCATATGAACATCGTGTATTGTTGAATCTTCATCGTATATGATGTTGTTGACGATAAAGAATCTTCATCATGTAAAATGTTGACGATGAAGAATCTTCATCGTATATGATGTTGTTGACGATGAAGATTCTTCATCTTATCTATTGTTGACGATGAAGATTCTTCATCTTATCTATTGTTGACGATGAATATTCTTCATCGTATCTATTGTTGATGATGAAGAATCTTCATCGAGACTAGAAATCCACGATGGCCAGATAGATGTTAGATCCAGTTTCTTCATAATAATAATATATTGTATAAATAATAATAAAATTGATTGTTTAGATTGTTTTTCAAATATTGAGTATAGTAAAAATAGCCGAAGCTTATTTTTTGATTTCATTTTAAATTAAAAATGACAAATAAAAGATAGGGGTTTAATATATTAAAGATATTACAATTTTTATTTCTTACTTCAATATTTACAGTGAACCCTATTTATATTTTCTTTTTTTGTCCTTCGTTTTGATGCATTACATATTAATTGGTATAATTGATTCCTAAAAAAAATGTTAATTGCATCCAAAAACGATTAAAGTTCTTTTAGATTTAATACAGGAGTCGGGTAATCAAATATCAGAATATTATTTTCATATTCAAAATCACTAATGTATCGCAAATGTTGAACGGTAAAAATGTATTAATCTTTTTATTATTTTTAGATTTTCGACGGAATATGAATGAAACTAAATTAAGAAATTTAATTAAATTAGTTTACTATTGTCTTATTATTAAAATAATCAATTAGAAACATTTATCCGAAAGAAATAATAATAGAAGAATCTATGTGAACAGTGAACGTTGATAATCATGATAAAATTTTTAATATTGTTTTTAACATATACTGTATCCATCCTCGCGATGATAGTATTATTTAATTATATTACAATATAAATTATTTTATAAAATAGAATTTTTAATTGTTACATTTAGAAGATTCTAACGAATTTTTTTTAATTTATTCATTTTATGTGATTCGTTTGTATAAAATTAAAAAATAATTTATGCGCGTTATCAAGTTGAAATCTTTGTTAATAATATATTTATATATTTATATATTACACAAAATATAAAATATATGAATTCTATAAATTAAGTAAAGACTTACTGAAAAAGCAAAACAAAAGAAGTTTGATGAGAATTTTTTTAACAAAATGGAATAATTAAAAAAAATTTTATTTTTATCATGAAACACTAAAGAACTGCATGCGTTTCACAAAGATGTCAATATCTAATTCATCATAGAACTCCTTTTTTAGTTTAGAATGAAGTTTAATTCGTTAACGGATTTAGCATTTCGGCATTTCCGATCGCCAATTCTATCTTTTTTTTTTTTTCAGTCATATTCAAATAATTTATATATGACTTTTATAAATATTATATTTATTACACAAGCCCTGTAAAAAAAAGTCGATCCGTTTTTTAATATTCCGTCTTTTTTCCGTAAAAGGCTCCTTATATCCCGGAATTTATCGAATTATTTACATTTTCCTCGAATGGTTCCGTGAAAGGTTCATTTTTACGGAATTTTTTACAGAAATAACGGATAAAATTTTTTATAGTGAAGAATTAAAAGTCTATTTTAATATATTTTAAATATTGTTCTTAATAATAAACAATCAATTTTTTTTTAATTACAATAATATTTATAAGTTCAAATATATTTTAATTATAAAATCGTAGCGCGTTCCTAATATATGTTACACACACCGTTGTTCCCAAATTTGTAAATCATTTGGTCTTGATTTGTTTCAAATTGTGCCATTCAATCCAAATTTGAATTTCAATCCGATTTTTTTCGATTTATTTTTAGTCGCGAAACAAATATAATTTGACTTTTTAATAAATCTGGTCCAATCAAATCACAAAGAAATTTCACAGTATAATTAAAATATATACGCAAAATTCGTGCGATTTTTAAGATTAAATATAAGAATTAACATATTAACAATTAACTTTAAAGCGAATATCAAAAGAAATTTAGATCGTAACCTATGAATTCACTTCAATAATAGATTTGTACATTTTCAATTTATTTTATTAAATTAATTCTCTAACATTATTTTTTCAAAACGTTTAAATGGTGTTTCATTAGTGGCTCCAACCACTCTTTTTGTCAGCCAAATAAAAAAAATGGTGTTTCATTGCTTCAACCATTCTTTGTCAGCCAAATAATTAACAAATATTGTTCTACCAAGTTTACAATTGAAACATTAATTAATCAATGCGGTTCAAGTTGAAACATTAACCAATGCGTTACAAAAAAAAAATTTGTAGGTTAAATTTCTAATTTTAAAATACTTATGTTGAAACTTTACTTTTTTTATTATTTTACCAATCATTTAATTTATTAAAAAAAAAAAATATGGAGAACAAAAAAATTCTATTTTACTAACTGTTACTAATTCGAAAAACATCTATAAAATGACGATGATTTGAAGCCTTTTATTTGAATTTATTTTTTATTAAAAGATTAAATATCAAAAAATATCCCTTCAATTAATTAATTTTTCACAAATAATTAATTATCTTTTTAACAAAAATTATTATTTCATTGATTCATTATTCTTAAATGAATATTTTTATAATAACAATTATTGATTCATTCTTCTTGAATGAATATTTTATAAAAATCATTAATTTACAAATGCCTCAATCTTAAAAATTAAAGAGTCCCGTCAGTAAAAATCTAGAACCAACAGGCGGTTGCACTGTCCTTTATACATGTGCAAAAGGTCATTCATTTGTGATAAAGAAAATTCTAAAACTTTATCACAAATGTAGAAAAAAGAAGCAGATACGATTTATTCGGCTTTATCAAAAGACCTTTAGAATTCGAGCCTTGCAAAGGTCATTCATTTGTGATAATGAAAATTCTAAAACTTTATCACAAATGTGGAAAAAAGAAACAGATACGATTTATTCTGCTTTATCAAAAGACCTTTAGCATTCGAGCCTTGCAAAGGTCATTCATTTGTAATAAAGAAAATTCTAAAACTTTATCACAAATGTGGAAAAAAGAAGCAGATACGATTTATTCGACTTTATCAAAAATGATGACCTTAGCATACAAGGAGGTTTATACGAAGCTGAAACCATGGGATCAGCGGGTCGTGTTTCAATGCCCTTAAACTTAGACTAGATACTCATATACCCTTTTTAGATGTCACATTCTTTATTTAATTATGATTTTTATAAAGTATTAGATAGAAGTAAATTCATTTTGTTTAAATAAAAATATTTTAAGTCAGAATAGTAAAAATACTTAAGCTCAAGATACTCATTATACTCTTTACGTTATTTATTTTAATTAGAAGTATTAGATAGAAGTAAATTCATTTTGTTTAAATAAAAATATTTTAAATCAGAATAGTAAAAATACTTATGCTCGAGATACTTAATATACTNATAAAGAAAATTCTAAAACTTTATCACAAATGTGGAAAAAAGAAGCAGATACGATTTATTCGACTTTATCAAAAATGATGACCTTAGCATACAAGGAGGTTTATACGAAGCTGAAACCATGGGATCAGCGGGTCGTGTTTCAATGCCCTTAAACTTAGACTAGATACTCATATACCCTTTTTAGATGTCACATTCTTTATTTAATTATGATTTTTATAAAGTATTAGATAGAAGTAAATTCATTTTGTTTAAATAAAAATATTTTAAGTCAGAATAGTAAAAATACTTAAGCTCAAGATACTCATTATACTCTTTACGTTATTTATTTTAATTAGAAGTATTAGATAGAAGTAAATTCATTTTGTTTAAATAAAAATATTTTAAATCAGAATAGTAAAAATACTTATGCTCGAGATACTTAATATACTCAATATAACACAATATCTACTCTTTATAGATGATACGTTATTTATCTATTAAAAATATTAAATAAAAGTAAATTCCAATTAAATAATTACAGTACTAATAATTATACTTTCTAAAGGAAATTATTCTTATAAATGTACCGTTCAGAGGTGACCATGTATATCATAAATTGTTGAATGAGATTGTTGTCACATTAATAACTTTTCTGTATAAAAATTATAATTATAGATGTAAAATTCAAATTTTTTGAAAATCTAATCCACATTATTTTTTAAAAAAATTACACGACATTCTTACTAAAAATTAAATTGTTAAATTTCTTTTTCCAATAGTTATACTGCGCCTAGAATTCTTAACTTCTCTTTCGATTGAAAGTTGCGCCATACTTTAGTCCAAACTTGTGTAATAACAATATCCCTAGCTATTTATTTATAACGGACGGATTCTGACGAGTAAAGGTCATCATCTTGTCTACTTGTCTTTTATTCAATTTCTTCATATGTTATTATTCTGCATTTCTAAT